CTATCTATCTATCTATCTATCTATCTATCTATCTATCTATCTATCTATCTATCTATCTATGGATCTATCTATCTATGGATCTATCTATGGATCTATTTAGACAGTCCACTTACCCCGTCCTCCTGTGTTTTGAGATTACAGGTGTGTGCAACAGACCCTATCATCAATGCTAAAGCTTTTGACTTGAATAAATAGATGATTGGAATTTCCATTTTCTGAATGGGGGAGGCCAAGTTTGACCATGAATGGGGGGAGGCCATGTCTGTTAAATACCTGGGTGGAGAGATCAGGCATTCCGTTGAATAGAAGGGCTTGGGCTTTTGGAAACTTTACTGTAAGGGGATATGGAGATGCAACACAAGTTTTACTTGGAGATTTTCAAATGCTGTAATTCATATGACTTTATATTTCTTTTTTAAATTAAATATTTATTTTTTATATTAATTACAGTTTATTCACATTGTATCCCAGCTGTAGCTCCCTCCCTCATTCCCTCCCAAACCCAGTCTCCCTCCTTCATTTCCTCCCTGCGCCTCTCTCACTGATAGGGGAGGTCCTCCTCCCCTTCCATCTGATCCTAGTTTATCAGCTCTCATCAGGACTGACTGCATTGTCTTCCTCTGTGGCCAGGGTACTTCCCCCTGGGGGGGGGGGGGCCAAGAGCCAGCCACTGAATTCATGTCAGAGACAGCCCCTGTTCTCCTTACTAGGAACCTCACTTGGATACTGAGCTGCCATGGGCTACATCTGAGCAGGGGTTCTAGGTTATCTCCATGCATGGTCCTTGGTTGGAGTATCAGTCTCAGAAAAGACCCCTGTGCCCAGATATTTTGAGTTTATCAAACCATGTGATCACTTTTAAAAACATTGTAATTACTTTGTAGTTGTGAAGCAGCATTAGATGGTAGTGAGTTTCTTTTTGTTGCTCATTTAATCAGTTTAATACTTAGAATTGTTTATTTTTATTTTATATGTATGACTGTTTGCGCACATGTGTATTTGTGCATCCCATGCATGTCTGGTACTCTTGGAGGTCAAAAGTGGGCCTCAGATCCCTTAGAACTGGAGTTACTGATGTTTGTCAGCCACACGTGGTTTTGAGAATTGAACCAAGTTCCTTTGCAAGAGCCAAAGGTGTTTTTAACCACTGAGCCATCTTTCTAGCCCTACATTTATTTGTGTGTGTGCGAGCATGTGCCATGGAGCATGTAGAGAGGTCAGATGACAACTTGCAGTTTTTCTTTCTTTCTGCCATGTGTATCCTGAGGCTTAAACACAGGTCATTATTCTTGGCAGCAAGAGCCTTTACCTACTAAGCTCTCTTACTAGCCCCTCTTTTTTTTTTTTTTTTGAGACAGGGTTTCTCTGTATAGTCCTGGCTGTCCTGGAACTCACTTTGTAGACCAGGCTGGCCTCAAACTCAGAGATCCACCTATCTCTGCCTCCCACATGCTGTGATTAAAGGTGTGTGCCACCACTGTCCTGGCCCTGTGGCTAATTTTAAGTGAGACAGTTTTGACTTATTGGAGAAAAAATTTAATGTCAAAATTTAAGATGTGTTTATTGGTAATCCTGTATTGATTTTTTTTCCTGTAAAGTGTTTAATTGCTGTGTTATCAGTTAACTTATACTAAAATTACTTTAGGTTAATTTTATTAAAACATTAAATTAATTTTATGTATATATGTATTTTATGTATGTATGTGTTTTGCTCTTATGTATGTTCATGTATCACATGTGTACATGGTACCTGCAGAGGCCACAAGAGGGCCTTGGATTCCCTGGCACCGAAGTTACAGACTGTTGTGAACGGCCACAAAGATGCCAGGAATTGAGTCTAAAAGAGCAGCCAGCCAATTTTAGATTGGTGTCTGCCTGTTCTTAGTTACATGGTGTAGGTTTTTGTTCCTGTAGTAAAATACATGAAAGAAGCAACTCTAGGGAAGAGGTATTTATTTGGGGTTTAGGTTTGGGGGTACAGTTCATCACAGCAGAGGGAGCAGTCAGGAAGTAGAGGGAAGGGCTGTGCTAGACCACACAGGGCTTCCCCAGAAACCCACTTTTTAAGAGTCTTCCAGCCTCCCAGGAGAGTGTGCCCAACTGGGAACAACTTCTTTCTTTCTTCTGTACATTTATTCACTTCTGTGGTGTGTGTATGTATATTTCTGAAGTTGCCCCAGTGTGCACATGAGAGTCACAGAGCAACTGCAGGCTCAGTTCTTTCCTTGTACCACGTGGGTTCCAGGGAGTGAAGTCAGATCGTGGGGCTTGCTGGCAAGCATCTTTACCTGCAGAGACAGCTCACTTGCCCTACTGTTTTTATTTTTAGTCTATTTATAAAACGTGGATTAAAAATTGGATTAGGTGTCATCCACTCATCTATTATTTTTTTTTTTTTGTATTTAGACGCCTTTAAATTTTTTATTTTGACATGAATATATTTAGCTGTTTGCGTAGATGGTGACATAATGAATAAGAAGTTAAATTTCTGGAGAACATGTTTTGCTAATTTTATAGTCAACTTTGTAGACCGTTACCAGTAATTCTAGTTTCTTAAATAATTGTAAGTGGCATTTTAATAGAATTATAGAAAAATTTCTAATGAGGCTGAAAATTTTAATATTTTAACTTAAAAATATTTCTAATGTCAGTAACATCATGCTAAAGCATCTAATATAATGAATATTTAGTGTAGTAAATGGTTTACGCTTTTGGTGAATCTTTTAAGTGAGATTAATTGATTAATTATTTTTTGGTAAATATTTTCTAATAGTTACATTATATCAAAATAGTTTCTTAATGTGCCTGGGTAAAAAATGTTTATGTAGAAATTTATATACATAATATAATATGTTTATAAAATGTGGTACCATTGCATGCCTTTGCCATTGTAACATGGATCAATTGTTTCTTTGATTAAAAAAAACAAACTCCTTGTTCAATTTTACAAATTTGGTGCTAGATACTGTAAAACTAAGAGAAAAGTGAACTGGAAAAAGGAATGTCTATAGCTTTTGTAAACCTCTTTATAATAAGGATAGTTTATTATCATGGGAAATAAACCTTAACTCAATAAAAAAGAGACAAGAGAAGATGCAAACCTAATTCTGAGCGAATGGAAGAGCCTCTTGAAGATTGCAGTGGAGAGAGGATCTACAAATAAGTGCTGAATTGCCTCTGTCAGTCATGTCCTGTGCTAGCAGCACAAAGGCAGGGCAAGTAGCGTTAGAAACTAAATGCCTGCTCATCTTGAGGGAAAAGGAAAGGAAAAATGGGCTTCAGTTTCCCTGATGCCCACGAAGGACGCCTTGGAAGTCATCTTTGTAAGGCCTTTGTGCATCATTTTAAAGTGCTCCTTTGGGCTGATTGTCAACTGTAAAGTAGGCAAATGGCAAAGTACTTGGGTGTTTGGTCCTATTTGTAAGTATTATACATTTAAACACAGTAGGATATGTTTCTAATGGATTTTGAAGTTGGAAATACAGCAAAAATATAAAATACTGTATTTGTTGAAGAAAAGGTAAAGACAAAGATTTTAATTACATTTATTTATTTGTTCACAGTTTATTTGTATGTTTATGTGTGTCCTCACATGGGTGTGTGCCACCGTGTACATGTGGACCTGAGGGCAGTTGATAGTAATTTATTCTCACCTTCTACTTTGGGGTTCTGGGGTTGAGCTTAGTTTGTCAGGCTTGGCAGCAAGCATGAAGTCAGTTGTAAAAGAATTGAAATTAGTAGTACCACACTGAGCAGGAGCTGTGATCACAAATTTGATTCATAATATTCCCATTTGTGTTGTCTGATTTCTTGTTACTAATTCTAAAAGTAGATGAACTTTTGCCACTGAACTGTTTTATAAGGTGAATAAACATGCTCTGTTACTCAGTCCTTGCTGAGTAAGAATATTGGTGTCTTCTCAGTGTTTTATTGAGTTACATTTTTTGTCCATCTGCATGTATGCTTATGTGTGTGTAA